TATACTGTTTATATTTGCGCTAATTAATTCACTATTTTGCCGTATGATTTCCTTCCCCATCCTCTTATATTTAGCTACAGTAAATATATATATAAAATGCCATATTTCATTATACCGTATTTTCCGCACTATAAGGCGCACCGGATTATAAGGCGCACCTTCAATGAATGGCCTATTTTAGAACTGTTTTCATATATAGGGCGCACCGGATTATAAGGCGCATAGAATAGAACGTGTTTACAACTGAACAAGGCTGGGAGATATTGTGAATATATAAATATAAATATGTATAAAACGTAACGTATAAAACTACAAAAAAACAAAAGTACATAAGACGATTTCCCCAAATAATAAATTATTTCTTTGACGTTTCTCTTAACTCTCAAAACGTAGTTTTATACGTAGTGCATTCACAATAACTCAACGTTGTTCAAACGTTAATGTGCATATTCACAATATCTCCCAGCCTTGTTCAGTTGTAAACACGTAAAACAAACACAGTCTGATACCGCTAATTCAAACGTTAGTGCAGGGGTGCCCAAACAGTCGATCGCGATCAACAGGTAGATCGCTGACTGATTCTCAGTCGATCGCGAGATGTTTTGTCAATATAAAATACAATTGTAAAATAGAAAAGTGATTTCAATTTCATCTCATTGCACTGTTTCCCACACACGATACCTGTGTTGGGAGCCCAAGTATACTTCCGACCTGTGTGTATTTAATTTTTCATTTATTCATGAAATTGCTGCGTGCATGAGAGAGCGAGCGAGAGAGAGAGAGAGCGCGCGCAAGAGAGAGTGCAGGCATGCGCAAGGACGTGCAGCTAAAACCGGGGGGGTAAATGTTTTACCAAAAAGTCATATATAGAAACTATGCTACGAGTATTAAGCGCATTTGATGAAGCTGCAGCTACTTTTCTCTGCTCCTCTCTGCTGTCATGACTGTGAGCATCGCGGGGGACGAGACACACCAACAAACAGCGCAAACGCAAACGCAAACGCACACGCACACGCACACACGCACACACACACACTTGCACTGGAGCGCCAGCCACCACGCGAACCTTTTTACTTTTTACTTTTAGTGCTACAGAGTTGATCCGTGATCTGTACGGACCGAGGTGGGAACACACGTGACCCGGTCAAACAGTCGGTTGGACTTTACTCCGTTCACTCTCACCGTGTCTGCAGCTAATTTAACAAAAGCAAAATCATCTCACAGCAGCCTGCTGTAGTCTGTAGTCTGCATTATTTTTTACAGAACTCTCATTTATTATTTTCTGTTTGTTGTGTGAGTATTAAATGCGTTTGTAGGCTGTTGGTAAAGGCTATGGCTCACTATGTGGACTGGTAGATCTCGGCAGACTGGTAACTTTAAAAGTAGATCTTGGTTCAAAAAAGGTTGGGCACCCCTGCGTTAGTGCATAACTCAACATTGTTCAGTTACGTATAACACGTAAAGCTCACTTTTTCAGTTCATTCCCTGTCCACGAATCCCTCGAATTCTTCTTCTTCAGTGTCCGAATTGAACAGTTGGGCGAGTACGGCATCCAACATGCCCGGCTCCCTCTCGTCATTATCCGAGTCAGTGTCGCTGAGCGCCGTGTACAACCAGTATGGATCAACCAATTAACCAATTGATCCATATACAAGGCGCTCCGGATTATAAGGCGCACTGTCGTTTTTTGAGAAAATTAAAGGCTTTTAAGTGCGCTTTTAAGTGCGCTTTTAAGTGCGCTTTTAAGTGCGCTTTTAAGTGCGCTTTTAAGTGCGCTTTTAAGTGCGCTTTTAAGTGCGCTTTTAAGTGCGCCTTATAGTGCGGAAAATACGGTATATGTTATTTGACTTTTTCTTACAAAATATTGTTTAATTTTTTTTCTAGTCTAGATAGCTTTACTACATAGAGAATTAATGCACACAGTTGAATTATTCACTAAAAGAAAAAAAACTTTAAGGCTGTAATTAGTTTTGAATGACAGTAAGCAGCAATCATCCCCTCTATGGTATGCATTATAATATCAATGAGCAAAATAAAATGTTATGGTGTTTTTCCTATTTAAGATTGTACATTATAACATTTTTATTCTATTCTTTCATTTAAAGTTTGTTGCCTTGAGGCCACATTGTACCATAACGGACAAATTTTAAATGTATTACACGTTTCATATTTAATAAAAAGTAGCAATCCAGCTGCTGCTCTCAGGCAACATTGTACCATAATGGAACACAAATAGGACCAAATCATCATTAAATGATCATATCAAATCATTACAATCCATGTTGTTTCAATGTAAAACATTTGATGTCACCATGACCTCATGTTAATATGCACCTTTATCCTAACAAGCAGGCACATTCACACACAAGGACCTGCATGTACACAAGGTTATGATGGTTAAAGGGATACTTCACCCGTTGAAACATGAATCTGTATTGACATTGGGTCATATATGTAGTAGAAATGTGAAATACATTTTGAAGTTGGTGCCTTCTTGGCCGAGAAAAGGCAGAAAGCGTCTTTTTGGCTCATGTTGATGAAAGACACCAAATCCCAGAATGCACAGCACCGCAGGCCACTCCCACTAAGGTCCTCTAATTCAGAATCAGAAATACTTTATTAATCCCAGAGGGAAATTCGATCGTTACAGTTTCTCCAAAATATACAGTATAGCAGTAGAAATATAGTAATAAAAACATTTACAGACATATTTACTTCAACACATAAGGCCATTTCCTCACGGCGGACGTTAAGTTTTGATTCTGGGAGTGAGTTCCCACCCACTGATCTGTGATTGGTCTGCAGCTTCAGTGGTCGAATGAGTAACTAGCGTTGTAGTTTCACCCTGCTAACCGCAACAGCTTCCAGTCATTTTGCGTCACTGGAAGGTCCTTTTCAGACTTAGAAATACAAAGATTTCCCATCTCAGAGGAAAATGAGGGCGGGATGCACGACCATTCAAAAATACTACCAGGTTTCTAATTATACAAAGCTTAATGCAAATGGGTGAAGTATCCCTTTAAGGTAGCACATTCTAAGCACTACATGTTTACAATGCCAGAACAACCTGAGTATTTGTCACTCACGTCCTCATTGTTACACCTCATCCCCCCTCTCATCAGCTGGCAGTGCCAGCTTTTGCCTTTTCTATGTGCCATAAAAAAGGTACTCCTTTTTGCATCCCCCATTTCGCGTTCAAGGGCAGCTGTGGTAGAGCTGGTCGTCTCCATGGGCAGTTCTAGGCAGGGGCCAACAGGGGCCAGTGCCCCTGTAACACTGAGCTTGGTCCCCCCTGTGGCCACCCCTCCAAAAGGAAGAGCCCCCCTAATAACACATACACAGTATTTGACTCAACAACCGGACTCACAATCTAGTATTAAATTCTGTTACTGAAACAAATATAGATCATAGTATTTCATGTTGTGGTATTTAATGACGTGAGCTATTATTTGGTATAATGTTTAAGGGATCATCTTTGTGTTTTTTTCACCTGGGTTTAATGTTCCCCTCTGACAAAACAACTGGCCCCAGTTTGGCCCCCTCGGCAAAAGTGGTCTAGAACCACCACTGGTCGTCTCTCAACTGCGAGATTGGAGGTTTACAGCCTAGCTCCTGTACGAACATGTGTAAATGTCCTTGGGAAAGACAAGTTGCTTAGCTATTAGTTCATCCTGTGATCACCTTACATAGCAGTCTCTGCCATTTCAGTGTTACAGTAATGTAGTGTGAATGGGTAAATGTGACCTGCGGTGTAAAAAGTGCTTTGATAAGTCAAAAGACTAGAAAAGTGATATTATCATTTACCATACAAATACAATCAACCTAAAATACAGGAGTGAATGCATTTTCAAGTATCCATAGTAAAATGATTGATCCTGCACAAAAATGGGAAGTGGGAATATTAAAGTTGACATTCTGTTACATATTGTAATAATACCTGGGTCAGAAGATCTGACATCAGGTCTACAGGTTTGCTGTTTAACAGTGTTGCTCCAGTTTGATTTAGAGAGCATATTCTCTTTATTTTAGGACATTCCTAAAACAGGTTTTAATCAATACTATGATTCTAAAAATGAAATAATGGGTCAATAGGGAGGTCTTTAAAGTGGACTCCATACATGTTTGGAGGGGTGTTTAACTCAATTTCCTGTGGTTCTACTTGTGGCACTTCCTGCATTTAAACAAAAACAGGAAATGTTGCCTAGATACCCATGAATGTCCTGGGCCTTAAGTACTCTGAAACAGTACATCTAGGCTTCTTAAACACAGACATCTGTTGAAACAAGAGGCTGGATATGAGTAAGAAAAGAACAATGAAAAACAGCTTTTAATATGTGGCCCTTTTTTTTCTCTTAATACCTGAAATTATCTGAGTCAATTACATCTGGAGATTTTGATTCAATTTAAGAGAATAAAAAAAAAGTCTTCTTGGTCACTTTGATGTTTTTGTAATTTGTATAATGAAAATATTAAAGATATCTGCCCTTGTACAGCACCTTAACCTGTTGGTTTGTCCAGTTGTAGTGTGCTGTCCGTATTGACTGATTATATTGTTTGTGTTTTTGTTGTAACAATAATAGTGATTCTCTAATGGCCAGTTACACGTCTGAATGCAGATAATAAGTATTTATGGCACTAAATTATAAAAAAAAATGTAACTGAACTACAAATACAATGTTGATCAACTCTAGTCCTGCAGGGTTGGCGCTGCAGCTATTGTCTATCCATCGACACATCTATTGTCAAAGTGCCTCAGAACTGCAGACCCCTGCATGTTCATGTATTGTATGGCTTCACAATTTAGGGAGTCAACTTGAATGCCTGAAAGCTATTGAGGCCGGAGACATCTGGAGAAGCAATCAAAACACAGCAGAGTCTTCCATTGTTTTCTATTTCAAACCGGAAGTGGTCAGCAGGGTTGAAGGGGAAAGGACCCCAAACTGCTACTAAACATGGTTTCCGTCCTCAGTTTGTGTCCCAGACAGGATACAAAGGCATGGATGTTAGTTTCAGACCCACAACACTTGTTTTTGGAAACGGATTGACAGCCACATATTGGACACATTTTCCCCTCAAACTCCTGGGAACCTTGCTGGACAGTTACTCATTTGCTGATGTTGAAAGCAATAATGTTGTTGGTTTATGTACTCCAGCTAATGAGAAGCTTTGAAGGTTTATCGGGAGCAGAACATGAGACGCTGTGTGGCTCTGATGTCTGCTTCACACTGAATATGGACAGGGTCAACTTTGAAATGGCTAAGCAGAGCTGTGTCCACAACGGAGGTTATCTGATGACCGTCAGAGACAAAGAAGAAGAAGACATGCTGCGCTCACTCCTCTTACAGGTCGAAAGACATCAGGACAGGATACCTACATTTTGGATTGGATTAAAACTGCACAGAGGGGACTGTGTGTTGGCAGATAAGACTCTCAAAGGGTTTAAGTGGATATCTGGGAAGGAAAAGTCCCACTACTCTAACTGGGAAAGAGAACCTGTTAGCACATGCACAGAGGAAAGATGTGTAAGCATTCATTACTCTTCATTAGGTCAAAAACATTTGAAATGGACTGATGGATCTTGCAGAAGCCCTGCCTTTTATGTGTGTAAGTTTTATTTTAGGGGAATGTGTAAACCTTTGGATGCGGGGCTTGGACAAATCACCTACACAGCACCCTTCTCAACTGAGCCACAAAGAAGTGAAATGCAGTTACTTCCACTTGGAACATATGCTGAAATTAAATGCAGTGACCAACAGTCTCACATCTCCATGTGCAAAGACCAGATATATGGTTGGACAGTCCCTGGTCCATTTTGCAAAACCGGAAAGCGAAATTGCATGATCAACAATGGTGAATGTGAACATTTGTGCCGTCAGGATGCAGGTGAGGTTCAATGCAGTTGTAAAGAAGGTTACAACCTGGACAAAGACGGACTTACTTGCAGCATGAAAGACCTGTGTAGCGTTGACACCTGTGAGCATCACTGTGTAATGGGGGAGTCTGGATATTCTTGCAAATGTCAAGATGGCTTTATAGTAAATGTAAACCAGCACAACTGCTCTGACATTGATGAGTGCCAGTCACAGATCTGTGAGCACCATGTCTGCATAAATAGTCCTGGCAGTTACACCTGTCTGTGTAAAGAGGGTTACAAAATGGTTCAGGGTAAGTGCAGTGATATTGATGAGTGTCTGCATTCAAGATGTGAGCACAGCTGCTCCAACAGTATGGGATCCTTTTCTTGTAACTGCAATGAGGGCTTTACTTTATCTGAGGATGGCCACTCGTGTGCAGACATAAATGAATGTGCCAGTAATCTCTGCGACTATAAATGCATCAATACTGAAGGCAGCTTTTTGTGCTCCTGCCACCAAGGCTTCCACATGGAGACCAATGGATCTACTTGTGTTCCAGACATAACGAAGACATCAACTGCTTCATCAGGTAACCAAACTGTAACAAAGGAACACTTCACAGATGTTTTAACCAGTCCCACAGATGAACCCCAAGACCAGTACCACCACACTAACACACCTATTTCAGGCCTTGTCAATGTCACATACAGTGATCAGCAGAGCAACACATCCTTAGTGACAAGTTTATCTAAGACAGTTTATTCCAGGGTGATCATTTGTGTCCTTGGTTCACTCATTCCTTTGCTTCTTTTGGTCGCAATGACTGTAGCTATTGCAATTTTTAGATGCAGTCACTCGCAAAAAGAAGCCAAGAAAAATACAACTACAGATGGCTATTGTTGGGTATCCTCTGGTTTTGATCCACGTTTAGAGAAACTGTATGAGTCTATTCAGACTGATGACCTATGACATGTTTATGATGAAAAAGACTATTGTCATAATGTTATATGTTTATTTATGCTGTTATTGCAATCTCTAGTAAGGCTGTGTTGTACAGACATAACATAAAAAAAGTTTTTTTTACATGTCTAACAGGGAAAAATGCACAGGAAATGTATATTTCAGAGACACAGCAGATCAAATGGTTAAAAAATACAAGTCTTGATTGTATGGGTCTAATTCTCTAAATGTCAGATGTTTCCAAAGGTTTTTGACATATTCTTATTTAAAAGTCTTTAGGTCTGCTTACTTTCTCACAACTTCATCAGACAGAAGGGGTTATGGTTCAATGTTTTTGAAAGTGACCAGTTAAATAAAAGCACAAGTTAAGTTGTTTTTGTAACATAACAATGAGTAAGGTCTTTTACCTGCTTTTTGTAAAATAACAATGAGTAAGGTCTTTTACATGCTTTTTGTAACATAACAATGAGTAAGGTCTTTTACCTGCTTTTTGTAACATAACAAAGAGTATGGTATTTTACCTGCTTTTTGTAAAGTGTCTCCAGATAACACTTGTTATGAGTTGACGGTATACAAATAAAAATTGATTGATTGATTGAAATAAAAGTAATAATTCTATACCATTGCCAAAAACCCTCCAAGCAAACTATACTTAACATCTGATGGATGTGTAAATATGATGTGTTAATAAGCACATGCAGTGTTTTTAATCAATAAACCTCTATGTAATATGATATATGTCATGTCAAGCTCTGAAGTTTTGAGTTTGAAAAAGTTGTTGTTTCTTTGTTGGCATACTGCTGTGTTGGCATACTGCTGAATGTTGGAAACATCGAAACCATGGAAACAAGGTCGTCCAGCTTTATCTCATTTCCTTCCTCTCTTATCATTGTGCTTTGGGGTGTTGCATCCGGAGTAGATCCCCCTGACTCTAAATTCTCCATAACTTTTTTTAACCAACATTGTAAGTCACTTGTTCAAGACATCATGACCTACTTGCAACTGACAGTGTTTTTGCCAGTGAAAATTGTTTTCTTTTTTCTTGAGACAGGGTTTTGCCAGGAGCAGGTAGGCACATGTAGACCTTTTTGTATTGGGAGTGAGTGCATTTCTTTAAACCAAGAAAGGGTGGACTTTAAAACTGCCAAGGAAGCTTGCCATGAAAGGAATGGAGAACTGATGACATTTCAGACTGAGACAGATGAGAACATCCTCGACATATTGGTTCAAGAATTGTATGGAAACTTCTGGATCGGACTCCGTTTACCAGATGGCGCCTGCAGCAACCTATCAGCTCCACTAAGAGGTTATGCGTGGACCTCTGGTAGTAAAAGCAGCTTTATTCCATCTGTCTGCACCTGGAATGACAGTTTTAGAGTCTGCTCCCAACACTGTGTGTCTCTTTCTAATAACCGAAGGTTGATGGAGAGGTTGTGCAATGAAATGACTGATGGGTATCTGTGCAAAATGAAGCACAAAGATTCATGCAAAATACAGAAAATATCAGATCGATCTGTTTTCAAAAGCTCTAAAGGCTGCTCAGTTGGCCCTTGTCAACACGTCTGCAAAGATGTACAAGGCGGGTATAGATGTTTTTGTTTCGAGGGATATATCCAGGACAGCAATGACCCCAGGCAATGCAAAATGTATTGTGGACAAGAGAAATGTCCTGCAATATGTGAGAAAGACACATGTTCCTGTCCTGACGGATATCTTCTGACGGAGAACGTTTGTGAGGACATTAATGAATGTTCAATGGACTGGTGTGCTCAAGATTGTAAAAATACTTTTGGAAGTTTTGTTTGTTCCTGTCGAGAAGGATATGTACTGAAAGATCAAGTCAAATGCATCAAAGCAGCATACGATAAAGATCTTTTGGTCACAACTCCTATCGCCATAGGATCTGCCAAAATAGCTGCCAATAATAATACATCTAAGGATTCTTCTGTTGCTGCTGGTGGTTTCCTCTGGATATGGATTTTACTAGTTTTGGCTGTAGTTGGGTTTGTTATTGTCATTAGGTTCTATGCAGTTAAGCATCAGAGGGGCAGAGAACAGAACTTAAATCAACCATCTACGACCCCTGAGGACAATATAGAGTGTTGAACAGAAATACCACCTGCTGTTCCCTTTACCATTTTCATTTTGACTTTACATTTATCAGAAGGCTTCACAACAAACTTCTCAGAATAAGTATACATTCTGAACTTTTGTATCCAGCTTTTACTTGTATTAATTCATTATTATATAATTTGGAATTTCAAGTTTCAAGTTCTTGTAGGAGAGGAAATAGGCCACTCAGTGCCTGTACCTTGTATATGCACGGTAAGAAGAAGCAGTAAAGGGAAAATGTGTCATCATACATAAGTTCAAACTTTAATTTTCTGAGACAATTGGGTTGAAATATAAGGACTGTAATTGTTTTCAGGAACACCTTTTTTGGAACATTACAGTATTGGAAACATTTGCATGATGTTTTTGTCACAGGTGGAGGTGAGAGTAAAATTTGTGATATACTGCTTGGTAGTCTATAGTTTGAACTCTTCTCAATTCATGACATTGATTTATGTTTCATGAGTATTAATGTACGTTTGAGTATATGAGTCTGAACAGATTGATGGGGTTAAATTGACAATTCACTCCAAAATGGAAATAATAAGCAAAAGGATATAGCTCATTAAAGTGCAGTTTCTTTATGTTACTTTAGTTAAGACATTGTTTGCAGTCGTTCATGTATCCTATAGGAGTTTTGAAGACCATGTGTGAATTTATTTTTTATTTTAATTCCTTTTCATGTTATTTGTGGTGGCATTCCAACCTCAATTTTTCAATCATTCATTGTCATCATCATTCATATTGTTAGAGTGCCACCTGGTGTTCATATAAACACATTACAGGACAGGGGGAAGAACCAGCAACACAAGTCACACATGGCATCACCATTTTCTGACAATTCTTATTGACTATTTAAGATAAGATGGTGAGCTTTACACATGAAGAGTTTCAATTCTCTTCTGGATTTTTTAGGGAGAAGAGAAGTCAGTACACGAGCTGCAGCGTTCTGGACTAGTTGAAGAGTCTTTAGAGACTCAATCCGGCACCCTGGTTAAAGAGAATTACAATAATCCAACCTGGAGGTGTCAATAGCGTGAACTAGTTTTTCTGCATCGTTATGCGAGGAGATATGCCTGATCTTAGATATATTACGAAGGTGAAAATAGGCTGTTCTTGAATGACATATCTTGATCAATATCTTGATGAAGATAAGTCATCACTTTGTATTTCTTCTGCAAAAGGAAAAAACAATCGTACTGTATAATATAACCATGTTCTTAATTAATAAAACTTTGAATTATAGCTCAGATAGTCATTAATTTCCTAGGTACAAATTCACTTTTACAGTTTAAAGTTAATAAGTAACTTGTACTTTTAAAACCTTGTGTTAAATGCCAAACCTTCAGGATGTATTTTCATACTGTGCACGTTGAGTCTCACCTGTAGTCACTTTAGTTTATGCTGCGTTTTGATATGGTGGATTCAGTTAATTATCCAACAGAATGAGTGGTGTAAAATATGTTCAGGCTACTTTCCAATGGGATAAAAGTCCTATGAACAATTTATCAAGTTGCTATTTTAATTGTTGAAACTCTTATATTCAACAATGCCTATGTGCGTGCTGGGCAGTGGCACCTTCATATCTTTGGAGTCATTTTACTGAGAAAAGCATTTAGAAATAAAGCACTTCCTTGCTTATTGAATTATCTAAATCCTAAAACAGCTTTTCTGTCTTTCCTATTTCAATGAACACAGCAGCACCAGTATTATTTAAAGACTTTGTTGGTACTTATTCCCACCTTATGAATACTTGTGTATGCTACGCTGTAGCCCTGTTCAGACTGATTGGATGCATGGTACTGGATTTCTAAAAAAAAACTGATTCATGTTGACTTTGATTTCTGTCTTCTACAAATTCAGCACACTTTCTAAGTGATTTAGGCATTTCTGTAGTTTTGTAATTTGACAAGAGCTGATTAAAACAGGAAAGGACAATTTAAAAAGTGAAAATACTCCTTACGGCCTATAAGTTTAAGGTACACAAAGTCGTGTATTTGAATGTAGCTTGGACAGATATCATGAGTACTGAAGGCCTGTTGATAAGACAGGTGAGTGGTGAGTGCTCCTAACCTTGATAGCACTGGTTCTGACTGACATTACCTCACATCAGCTGGTTTGATCCTTTGTGGAGTAATAGCCAATCACAACAGGAGGAGTTCACTTTTAGGGAGGAAACAAAACAGGGACATAGGCCTATAAAAAAAAAGATCCTAAACGATTCAATAAGGACAAACTTGAATCACTGATGATTATTTCTATGCATTAAACTGATAATAACGACGGAAGAGGCTATTTTAAACAAAGAACGTTCTTAACATTTCGAGACTGAAGTTGTTATTGTTCAAGGATAAAGTCGTATACAATATTAGATTTGAAAGGTTGTATCAGAAGTTGTTCAGTATTTGCAGTATCTTTTCAGGGTCCTGCAGGCTACTTGTTATGACAATAGAATATTGTTATGCCTAAAGATTCCTATTCCTTTTTTGTGGAATCTGAAGTCTCCTAAAGTAGGAAGATCCTCCACCTTCCTGATTTCCGTCCAGGCGGCTGCTGCTCTGTGATAAAACTATAGATTGAAATAACGGCTTTGACCAGTTTGGATAATAGCCCTTACATTTCTTCAAAACTTATTCTGACTGTTATTACTTAAACAAGTGATGATCCGAGGAGCTTACTGTGTGGTTAAAACAAACGTCTTTTAACGTCAGATACGTCTGGCAACGTAAACACGGAAGCAGGGGTCTACCAACAGCCCATCCTATCAGAAAGAAGGCGTCAGGAAATACTGGAGCGTCATTGGGTTAAAGTTTGCCCTCCCCCTTCCCCCTTTCGTTGCTCGGATAAATAAGAACCAACATCTGCACTATCATGTGGAGACAAGTCCTGTAGCTGGTGTGAAACACATTTAGCTTACAATAGCCATCCTGCTCATTTCCTTTTTAATCTCCTTTGTAAACAGCTGCAGCATGTCTGTGGACAGCGTGTTCAGGACCCGATCTCTCGGGGTGGCCGCTGAGGGTCTTCCTGATCAGTATGCCGACGGCAAAGCAGCCAAAGTGTGGGAGCTGTACATCGGAGACACGCAGAGCAGGACGCAGGAATACAAAAGCTGGGTGGTGTCTTTGCTCAAAGAACACGGGGTGCGGAGAGTGCTGGACGTGGCGTGCGGAACTGGGTAATGTGGATCCGTGTGGGTGGGCAGACTGTGACTCAGGTTAGACTGTGCAGGCGTGGCAGCACGTCTCACCAACAACAGACAAGACAAATAGAGCTTATTTGCAGTACAGTAGCTGATCATGCAACACTTCATGTAAACACACTGTGTGGTTCATTTTAAAAAAGTGTCAAGTCGAGTATTAAAGAAACCACGGTAGCCTATCATATGCAAAATGTGGTGCACAATGCCCTACGTACAAATAAGAAAATACATAATGATTAACCCATGCAGTGCCTGTTAAGAGGCTTAACTATTAATGTGAATCTCTCAACTGTTTTGAAAATATCTTGGACTTGATGGAGCAATAACTAAATAAAAGATGCATTAATCAGTTCATTTCACGTTGTCCCATAGACCTTCTGAAATTGCCCTAATATTTATCAGGTGCTATGATAAAACATCACTACAATTAGTTGTATTTGGTAAATAATCAGGGTAATTTGAATATCCTGGAATGTCAATCTGCTGACCCTGGACAAAAACCTGGATTAGGCTGGAGTGCAGGCCTAGTGAATGGAAATGCAGAGTTGCACTGTCCTACCTCCAGCAGCAATATGAGTCCTAGAGCTTAAACCTTTTTACATTACAACTCATTTGGCTCTTTTGGGCTGGTTTTTGCTCAGGTGCATCTGACCCAGGTGTATCATAGCTAGTGGTTCAATGGTTGTAACACACTTGAGGAGGTTAATAAAATGGTTGGCGGTTGCATGTGGTTAGTTTTGACTGGTTCCCTGCACTCTGTTGACCTCTGCTGATAGTGTATCTTTGTTTAGGGAAAGCAGCAAGGACACTCACTGAACTCACACAAAAACACACCTTTTTTAATACTTTATATTATTAAATTATCCTAATCTTACACAGTAGATTCAAGAAATGACTGTTCTGTTAAAAAAAACAGTGCTAGTCTTTATCATAACCTCCCCTCATGAACAGTGCAATCCTCTTGTTGTGAAAGTAAATGTTGTTCCTGTTGGTCTGCTATGGAGGTGTAGTGAGCACATAGACTCTGACCACATTCCATAGTATGTCTCAGTAACCAGCTGAATGAGGTTTCAAATAGCCTCCCTATTTTTGGCTTTCTAAATGTGCAAGCTTTTCAGTGGTTCTGTTTCTGAGTTATTTGTTGCTTACTTGCAAGTAAACAAACTACTCCTTCAAAATAAAATTTAAAAATTCACCATGGCTAAACTTTTAAGAAAGGTGTAAATCACTTATCTTGTAATAAGACATGTTTTCATAAGAGGCTTTCTTTATGTGAACTTTAAAGCTAAGAATATCTATTTTTTCTTCTGTAGAGTTGACTCCATCATGTTGGTGGAGGAGGGTTTTAATATGGTGAGCGTGGATGCCAGCGATAAAATGCTTAAGTATGCACTAAAGTCAAGATGGGAGAGGCGAAAAGAAGCAGCCTTTGACCAGTGGGGTAAGGCATTTCCATGTGGTTAATTAACTTTCCTCTCGCGGCATTAATAAAGTACATCTTTATTTGACATCTGATAATACACTGAACTTCAACTTGTGTAGTGTTCATGACTGTGATTTCTTTTCTGTTTTCTTCTCTGCTTTCCTCTCAGTTATTGAAGAGGCCAACTGGTTGACGTTACCAGAAGATATTCAGAAACCAGGGGATGGCTTTGATGCTGTTATCTGCCTGGGCAACTCATTTGCCCACTTACCGGACTTTAAAGGTAAAGATAAAGTCTCAGACCCGATCCAACTAAAGTACATCTTTCATCTTCCTATAGTTGTACTTCTTCAAGCTAAGTCATTTAACTGAAGAGTGTTTTTATTGTAAATAATCCTCTACATGATGTTGTATTGCTCTCAGGGGACCAGAGTGACCAAAAGTTGGCCCTACAGAACATTGCTAGTATGGTCAGACCGGGTGGCATCCTGATCATCGACCACCGCAACTATGACTACATCCTGGAGACTGGCCGGGCACCACAAGGCAAAAACATCTATTATAAGGTACTCCCATATCTGAATTTGGATAGAGATAGTTTGTTAGAGGCAGTGCAAATTGACATGCAGATGAATTGTTTCACAAACAAATTCTTCTGGTTACAAATGTGAATACAGCAGCACTAGTTTTAACCTCCATCTGTGTTTACACGGAATGTGTTCAGGCACAGTATTCTCTGTAGGTTTTTTGTTTTTGTACACATGTTGTAGAACAATAAAATGTATAATTAAAGGCTTAAATAATGCACATCTGTTTTCTTATGAGATGGATGACTGTCTAGGTAGTGTATCGTTCCCTTGAGGTAAATGATTAAAGATTAAATGGACTTGAGCTTATATAGCACTTTTCTAGTCTTCCTACTACTCAAAGCACTTTTACACCGCAGGTCACACCTACACATTCATACCCTTTCACACACTGATGGTAGTGATCACTATGTAGTATCATCCATCAGAAGTAACTAATCCCATTCATACACCGCCACTGAAGAAGAGGGAGCAATTCAGGGTTAAGTGTCTTGCCCAAAGGACACATCGGACATGTTGCCCAGCTGGGGATTGAACCCTTGACCTTCCAGTTGAGAGACGATGACTCTACCAACTGAGCCACAGCCATTACACAACTAATGACAACAACTGCCTTTTCCATTTTAGTTTCCAAATGTTGTATGAGTGTCAGCCGCCTGCTTAGTACTCTTAAGTTCTTGGCAATACAGAGTTGCCTCTCATATATTTTTGTGAAGGTTAAATCATTTCAGTGTATGATGTCTCAGACAATAAATACAGAAGGAAATATTCATTCAATGGACTTGCCTTGAGCTAAATCCTACGTTCCTCATGTTCCCCTACACACAGAGCCTGCTCAATAAGAAGTGAGAGCTATCCTTGTTTACCACTGTCACTGCATGTGTGTGTGTGTGTTTCAGAGTGATCTAACTCAGGACATCTCCACCTCTGTGCTGTGGGTCAACAATAAGCCCCATATGATCACTCTGGATTACACCATCCATGTTCCAAAGGCCGTGCTCCACAATCTTCCTGAAGTCAGGTAAAGTCAACAGCAGTATAGGATAACACTTTTCATGGTCTCCTTTTATGATATGACTGTTCAACATGAAATAACAAATATAACACCCTCTCCTACTTGCCGGTCATTTTAGAATTTGATGGCTTGATTGAATGATGGATTTATCATTTTTTTATGTAATTAACAACAAATCATAACACAGGTTATTTCATGGCCCGTTCCGTAAGCAGGTTTAGTGCAAACACAGTCTGTTAACCCTGAATTGAGGGAATCTCTGGGCTTTCCGTTTCAGAAAGGGAGGTCACTCAAACCTGAGAAAGAGGGGTAACTCTAGCTCTGAGTCAGTTACTATGGTAACAGAGTCTGTGAACCTAACTTGGGGCCTGTACTACGACTTGAGTTCAACATACCCAGGGTACCTTTGGGTTATCTGGATACACTAACCCTCACATAAGAGACCCTGATTAACAGTCATATGAAGCTGGTTATCAACCTGATAAGTTACCCCCGAGTTTCCAAGAGCGCGTTCACATAAAAGGGGCGGAGTTAGCTTCATCTAACCTATCACAATCATAACTGTGTCTGCCATCAGCAGATCGTCATATCCAGTGGTGTAATGGTGCCAAAAGTAGTATGTACACTATTTTTTACCCACAATGTTTTTATTTAATAGTCCCGTCCAGCAGAGGATCAACAGCCTCTGTTATGAACATATTTAGTTAGTGCATATGAGAGACAGAGTAAGGAGGGTCATCCCTTCACCATCCTAAGAAAAAATGCAGCATACTGAATATTGTCAATCAGTCAATGGTGTAAATCAGAGGAGATTTAGAAGTCTCCCTATGGAGACTGAACAATAAGTAGGTATAGTCTGTATACCCTGCACTACACCACTGATCATATCTAACTCTGAACAAATTATTAAGAATATAAAGATGTTTCAAACAAACAGACTCCCAGAGACTGAAGTTACAGACGGACAACTTCCTATTAATGTGCAAACTACGGCTTATTATATTTTTCCTGTCGTTAGTTCACCTTGAAAAAGACGATAATAACTCCTGTTTCTTCTCTTAACTGGATGTGTTGCTCCCACTCTTTCATGTGGCGAGTATAACAGTTTGAGAAGTTATATTTCAGCTCTGATGATAACAGACAGAGCGGCATGGAGACATTAAACATTAATATAAAGATATAATTCAAAGACATCAGAAGATATTTGTCATTTAACATCATAAAAACACAACTCAAAGGCTCCGCTGCTTTTTTTAGTCTCTGTTGAAGGATGAAGGATGATATCAGTTCAAAATAATCATTCACTTTACCGACTATAATGTAAAATCATAGGGGACACATGAAGTCCTCCCCCCTCTCCATCAGCTCCGGAGAAGGTTATGTGTGCAGTATTAGTTACCGTGGCGATATACTCGGGTAAGAAGTGAAAGATCTTCGTAGGATTGAAAACCCAGGGTTAACCCTGAAGTGACCTCACTACCCTCAAATCCTGGTTCATAGTACAGGCCCCAGGTCAGGAGCAGGTTCTCTCCGTCTCCTCCCTCTTTCAGATCCAGAAACAACATTTCATTTCCTCCTTCTTTTATGAAGTCACGTGTGATACAGATGAGAGGACGTGTGAAAGCAGCATGAAGTTAGGCTGTAGGCCGCACATTAAACAAAGTCAACTTCATTCAGTGTCTATGTCAAATGGAAATACCACCATGAGCCTCGTTTGTTCTTGTATTTATTTTGAGCTGCTGGATCGTATCTTAATGAAGATACATTTCAGGTTAAACACCATTCCACCAGTTTTGACTCGCGTATAAAAATTCTGATTAAAGATAATAGAATAGACTACACGAGCAGGGCTACGTCTTATCCCTCTCCTCTCTCCTTTGCCGCTGCAGCAGTGTTACTTCTTAGAGCCTGTTCATATTCTCCGTATGTCTGCATGAAGGTGAAGCCTAGTTATATTTAGAGAGGGATAAAGTGGGAGGATCTTTTTTTGTCACCTGTTGCCATGGTGAATCATAGTATCGGGGCTCCATTCATGTTTTCTATTATCATCGTGGTGCACACACTGAACACCGAGTGGACCTACTCAGAGTTAATTTAACTTAAATCTGCTGATCTGGAACCAAAAACTCAGAGTTTCCCACCTGAGAGTAAATCAGCTCAGAGCTCAGAGTTAGACTGAGAGTTTGTTGAACCTTCTTTCTGAAACAGGCCCCAGGTCTAGACTGTGTTCTTCGTTTATTATTTATAGAGATCCAACACCAATCCACTAATAGGAAAGCACTTGGCAACCAAGATGAGGAAAATATTTTTTTTGGAAGAAATCTTTGTTTAAAAATAGACTTAATTATAGATGGTCATTACAATTTATGATATAGAGGGGGCCATTGCCACTTTTGTCAGTACGAGTGCTGCAGTTGTTTGAAACAGCTGAAGGGTCTGTAGAGACCCAGTATGATAATCGTCTAAAGCAATAATCAATTAAAAAAATGGTTCAACAGAACTACCTGTTGTTGTGTGTTTGGAGGAATTCTAATGTGTGCATCCTTCGTTTGTCTTCCACAGTAAATTCCGTCTGTCCTATTATCCTCATTGCCTGGAAAGCTTCAAAAGTTTGCTGAAAGAGGCCTTCCACAGCAAAATGGAGCACAGTGTCTACGGGGATTTTAAGACATATGTCCCTGAGCAGACCCAGGCCCCGTGCTACTTCATCCATGTCTGTAAGAAGACAGCTTGAGCACCAAATTCACCAACACACAGCTAGACCAATAAAAAGCTCTCAGGGTCTCATCATGCTTCTACAGTTCCCCAGTCTTTGTAAAATGGTTTTCAAATAAAGTGTTTTAGAATGTACCCCACAGGTTGCTTGTAAAAAAAAAAAGAAAAGAAAAGAAGCAATAATCTTTTTCAGGATGCCAGAAAATCAAATTTTGATCAAATGTATCTTTTTTAATACTTTACCTTTAGTGAGGATAAATATTAAAGCCCTTTAAAACATCCTGATAGCTGTGCCAGTTGATAGCTGGCTTTATGAAAATACAAGGATTGTTTTTCAATTCCTTTTTTTTTGATAGCGCAGTAAAAATTCATAAAATGAGCTTAATGTTCCATAATGTTTGAAGGTGCTGTGTGCGTAAATGAAGCCATTTTGGTCCCATATAAAGAAATGAGCAGACACTCAAAAGAGAGATGTAATACAACAGAAAACCTAGTTTGAAAAATATAAAGCGAATGTATTGGACCATAGTTTCTCTCATAACTTGTATCTTCTAAATGTGCTGTATGTTTCCTGCTCTCTATTCTCTCTCTGCTCTTCTGAACTTACACTTCCAACTTGACAAAGTGCGTTAGTGATATTACCCATGATGGCATACTTAGATGGATTGCCAGTTTATTCTTAGACAATTGTATTTTTAAGTTTACCACACAAGTCTTAAAAACATAGATAAAGCATCTATGGTAGTTTGTTCAGATAATACTTACAAGAACCAGCTCACTAACGTTACAGGTTGTCACGCCTGAATCCGCCTCGGAGTTGTTTACCTCAACAAATATTTCAGTTTTAGAGCTCAATAACCTCTGACCTCTCTTAAGCCAAAAAAGAAGAAAACACGTGTTGAGCTTCCTCTTAAGGCGTCTTCTAATAGTTGAGTTTCATTTTCACATTTTCCTTTTATTATTTTCATTTAAGTTGTTTTTTTTTTCTTGGGTATTGTGTTGTGTGCTGCGATGAAGACACACAATTCTTCATTTGAGCCACAAACTGCCTGTACATGTTCTGGGAGCTACCACCAAGGGACCTGTTACAGGCAGATGGTCCTTTAATGCTGCCTCCTCCTGCAGGATCTACCTGAGAGATTAACCAAAGAGTAGTAAAGGAAATGTTCAAACAATGAGAGAGGTACATTACACATAATAACTTTGACGGTGTTATCCAGTTCCACATGTTGTGCTCAGATACCAAATTAGAAGTTTTTTTCCATCTGAATGAAAGAGAAAATTAAGTTTCATGCTTTGTATTGAAATTATGTTAAATTGAATTGTCCCTATTAAAATAAAAAAATTCAAATTCAAATACTTTTAGGACCCTTCCTGTTTGCCTTAACTTGAATTTGTCTAGCTTTCAAATGCTGCAGACAATAAACTGTGGGAGTGGGTTTGAGATTTGAAACAATTTCAGAACAGATTTGTAATGTTGCAAATTCAAATAAAATTGGACATGGGAAAATGTTGATCATTTGCATGAAGCCTATAAAAATACAGTGGTCTGTTTTTGTTGTACATTTTTGCTTACAATTGACAGAGAAAAAGTGTTTTTTTTTATAGGCCTTCATTTTTAAATGATTTGGTTTTAACACTTCTATGTAGAATTACTTGTTTGTAATTTGTTGTATGTCATATTAATTAGAGTTGCCTGGCTGTAGGTGTCTGCACCAGATCCTAAGATTTTGATTCCTCGGTTCATTTTGATGCATAACCTTCAGTTCAATCAGGAGAGACAAGCGAATGAAGAAATTGTTATCTATTTATAAAATAGTGTAAAATCATGATTTGGCTTCACTGTTCTAACATTTTGGACCTTTAGTTTATACATCTATATACAGTCTATGGTATTTATGTTTTATTGATGTTGCCCAAGTCATTGATAGTCATCTGTTCTCTAAAAGTGATGAAAGTGAGAAGATAACACACATGACATTAAGAGGGTAATTATAAAGACACAAAAATATTACACATAGTAGAAGGATTTGATCTAAATCTGTTTAATGCGGAAACATTATTTTGTACTGATGATTGGAGAAAATGATTTTGATGTGATGGTCCAAACTTTTAGAACAGCCCCATTCTTTCAGTGTTATTGAAAATGATCGAAGGTAAGAGGTAAACTTACCAGAGGTTAAAGAAAACGTTTAGGTCACAAAACATGTCGAGATTATACAACTGTCAGAGTTCTCCAAAATGTTTTTTTCTGCAGAAATTTAAGTAAATATATATATTATGCAATATTCCCTTTAATCCATAAATGATTGACTCACTCTAATGTAATAAAAACATTATACTATTAGGAGGCCTGCTCTATGATGTAATAACTGAGGTGATAGAAGCAGCTGGTACTGAGTCAGAGCAGATAATCCAGTGAGGAGCAGGCATAGGGTAAAGCAGAAACAGAGAGAACACAGATGAGTTTGACGACACGTCATTTTCACATTTGGATGGGGTCTGGATGTTCACATAGGATTACCACAAGGTTGGTATAGGTACAAGTCAAGCACGAGGGCTGCACAATGATAATAATAATAATAATATAATTATGTAATGTCTTTTTTTTTTACAACTGCAAAAACTAGCCAACAACTCAAAGGTCTATCTTAAAGGTGTAAATTCACAAGTTTCTGCAAAGTGGAACAAAAACCTAGTGCAAAAAAAATATTTTTTGACAATGAATAAATATATTAAACAACGGTTCAGTACACAGGAGAATAAAAAAAAAAGAATAAGCCTTCCCTTGTACCAACAAGTCAATCTCTGTGTTGCAGGTAGTGTGATTTCAAACACTAATGTTGTAGCTATTGTTCTTTAATTCAGATTTTCCAAATAAATAGAAGCAGTGAAGTGAGTAATACTTACCTGGTTGAATGGGTGATGGTGAAGTGAAAGGATTTTATTTACCGTCACAGAACAGAGTTGAATGTATAATTCAAAACATGCTAGTCCAAAACCTTAAAGTAAAAGTGCACAAGGCAAATATAAATAAAATCACAACTAGTGTGGGCCATTTGAGTGCAAAGAAAAAACAACCACACGCAGCCATGTTTTAAAAGTTATTTTTAAACAACATTATCACATGTAAATCTTATCTATCATAAACCATTCTTATAAATCAACATCAGCTGGAAATACAGAATCAAAGTAGATTTACAGAATTAAGACACTGTGACACGAGTCGGCTGAGTAAAGAACAGTAAGGCACATTTGCCCTCCATGAAAAAGGTAGTTTCAACATTCAAAGAATAAATCGCACCCATTTACAGCTATAGTTGCTATGGCATTGACAACTAAACATTTCAAAAGCCTTAGAAGTATAACATGGTGGAATCTAAATACAGATTAAAACAAAGTGCTGGGGGTTATTGAACATGAACCAGTTTTTTTTATATGTAATGTGCTTCATGAAGTTACTTGATTTTAAAGTAAAATTACTTGACTTAATCTTATATTGACTTATTAAGTTACTTGTAATATAGCCTTATTTCTGTAGCATGACCTGTTTTTCTATAATCAGAAAAACAAGTGACGCATGTATCACATAAATAACTGAGTTCATCTCTTCACTAGGTCGTCATGACAATGGAGCAGCCATCAGAAGCACACTTTAATGAGCTCATCATGTTCCATTCACTATTTTCAATCAGCAACATCTTTCTTTTTTCCTGCAGGTTGTGGAATGGTGAGAATAAGAATTTAATTATTAAAATAAAATCTATTTATTCAGGTTGATCTCAAGACACATGATTTTCAAAGGTGTATTCTTTTTATTTTTACCATGCTCAGCTTTATGAGAAGTTCCCCCATGTATCATGGATCCATTGTCAAGGTATTAAGAATGTTGTTTTTCACAATTGTGCTGTAAAGGCTGTGCTTTTGTTACACACCAATTTAAAAGCATCTTTCTGAGATAGCTGACCCAGTCTCCAGCACACCCTTCTCTTATTTTCAATAAGGGGAGGTAAAGAGGACTGCAGCTACTTTTACAAGACATAAATGTGCTAGTTTATTTCCATAAAACAAAAAAACAAACAAAACAAAATGTAAACAGTAGTTGCAAGCAATCCATAAATTACAAATTATAGGATTCACTATTTAACATACATTTTTACCAATACAGATACAAAACAATAAAAATGATAAGAAAAGAAAACAATATGTCAAAACAATCAAATAGATAAGGATAAGGATTGGCACATGCAACAAGAAATTCAAATCACCGCTCATTCTCACTCCACACACACACATTCACTTTGTAAACAGAGCTATGTTTCACCACAACCACAGGCACTGTGAAGATGTATATTCTTCTATGAATAAAATGAAATGTGAAAGTGGCCACAGATAACAATACAATCCATTCTCCTCTCAACAACCTTCCAGTTTGTCTTTCATGAAAACATCTGAATTCCATTATTTTAGCCTGATTGGTGCTGCACAACATCCTGTCTCAATCAGAGGTGTGTTTTAGAAATATTATGGATGCAGGTCTGTCTTTTTGAACCAGGTCACTTATCAATGAAGTGAAATTAAAAGGCTTCTGTACGTTCAGCTATATCACTTAAAAGCACCAGAGTATAGGCAGAAGTCAGTAAAAAGGTATTTTTTTCTTTTAACATTTTTGCTTTACTGCTGTGGTGTGTCGCAAGAAAATTATTATCAAGAGATACTGAAGTTTCTATGAAATGCAATTTAGTAGAGGATGGACATCATGTAAGCTCCATCACACCACCTTTACAACCACAAACTTTAATATAAAGCATATCTCAGTAAGTCAGTCATGTGACATTCCAGTGTTATTTGACCTCTAAAATCCTGAACTGGGGCCGGTATCACAAAACCTTCTTAAGAAAAGAAACTTCTTAAGTAATGATTTCTTCTTAACTTCAGTCTTAAGACAAAAGTTCAGAATATTCATATTCTTGAAAAAAGTTTGTATTTATTACTTAACTTTCTTCTTATGTTTCTTCCTAAGAAAAACTTCAGAATAAAGATTCTTGAAAACAAAGTTCCTTAAATTTCTTCCTAATTTTCTTCTTCATTTTAAGATCACACTACACTTGTCCTAAAATTGTTAGAGTGGAAAGGTAAGCCTCTAAATGATTAAATTAAATTTTGTTTTTCAGTTTTACAAAATGTGTCTTTACATTAATCATTAATGTTAGCTTGTTGTTTTTGGTTTAAGTCTCATGTCTCTGGTACTCCTGAAAATAAGCTAGCACATTTGACAGTTCATTTTAATCTAATTTTACTTTACCCAAAGCAACTAACTAATGTTTACTCAGTTATTTATTTAAGTAAATCATAAATATGGTTGTCAATAAAAAAATGACCCAACTGTTTTCCACAGCAATAATGTTGACAAACGTTCTCATTATAATGTATTGAAATAACATTTCAGTCCTTTAGTCAATGATGTTACACCCCATGTATAGGAATAGGCATATGCCTGTTATATATATATAAATATATATATGCCTGTCCTACAGCATCTGAGAAGTTCAATCAGGAATTATACTTCAGAACATTCTTAAGAACTTCCTAACTTTTTTATTAAGAAAATGTTTGTGAATCTGGCCCCTTCACTCTAATGTCATATTCTAGACTATAGTGTCAAAAATGATGAAAGTTGATTTCTTTTCATAAACTGAGTGTTGGTATGCTTTGGCAATGCAGACTAAAGTGAGTTCATCATAATTTGGTCCTATATCCAACAAACCTATCCAACATAAAAAAGTTATAAAAGCTTCAAACATCCCTTCATTGTTGAATGGAACTGATCATTTATATGAATTGGCATACATATTTTGATCTGGTAAAGTCAACTTATACAAACTGCAACATGGCAATAAACCCTATCTATACATTTTGATTTGACTTGTTTAATAAATTTATTCCCTGCAAGAAGGTATTTGCATATTTTTGTTTCTAGCCCCAAATACAGAAATCATTTGGACCAATACATAATAAGTTGGGTGCATGAGCAGTGATGGTAAAAAAAAGTTACTATAAATGCTCATGAACCCAAAATAGTTGTTTAAGCCCCACCCACGTCCTACAGAAGTGATATGTGAAACATTCCCCACATTAAAACAGTGAGAAGTACATGGAGCTAAAACACACATATAGACATCTCTCATGTGACACAAGCTGTCATAACCTTATTCTACATGTGGGACAAATAGATTTTTAAGACCTTTAACAACTGGTTGCAGTGAATGACAGAGAAGAAAATATCTATGTATACGCTCATTCTTTTCCTAGATCTAGATTCTAAAAGAAAACTTCCCTTAAACCTAAAGTTAAGTCTAAAATGTATTGCAAACAGGCAGAAAAGTAGAAGAGGGGTCGTTTTTCAAGTTGTAATTCTTTCTGATCTGAATAAATATGTCAGCTGCTTGTGCGGAAGGTGTACTTTCTGTCATTCATTTACTCGATCCAGAACTTTTGTGGAGAATCTTGGCAGCAGTCCCAGCTCAACAAGTTTAAAAGATAAAAGTGCTCGCGATAGAAACTTGAAGATTGTGACAGGGACATCACATCGTAAGCTGAACGTCAGCTCAATATGCAATACTGATGCAATGCCAACATGTACAACTCTGACTGCAGACTTACTGTAGTTCTGGGTGTCCTTTTATTGACACCCTGGACATGTGTCTCCTTCCTCCATCTATTGCTCTGAGTAGTTATCCTATACATATCATTCTCTTTGTTTTCTTTTGCTAGGACTTCAACAAGCTGTGCCAGCGACAAACCTGCTGTCCTTTAGATTCCTTCATCTGAGTCCAGTGGGCTAGCTCCTCCTCTCCGGAGCTGTTGAGTCCGAGCGAAATCCAGCCAATCATTTCCTTGCGCTTCATGCTGCGCTTGTTGTAGACAGAAAAGATGAGTGTGACGTCAGAAAGCTGGAAAAGAGCCACCTGGAAGATGAATGTCTCTTTGTAAGTCGGGTTGGGCTGACCCCGACAGATGGAGGTCTTACACTTGGACATCTCATGGCCCATGGAGTTCAGCAGGGTCAGTTTAACAAACGTATCTAAGAAACATGCAAAGTAGACAATTAGATCTTTGGTTTTTTTTGTAGACAGGAGACTGATTTTTAGTAATGGAGCATTTGTGCAAAGTCCTTGTTTCTTTCTTTCTGTATTATCTTTGAAATAAGCATTACTACCGGCTGTACACACATTTTCCCCACAGCCTATTTCTTCTTCTGAAGTTGATGTACAAGGTAAATAAACTGTATTAAGAAGGGTGTGCTTAAAGTGCTCCTGATAAAAGAGAGCAATAATCCAAGGGTTGCAAGGTTTCATAAGTCTTGCTGCTATGTATCCACTAAAGGTCTAAAATAGAGTATGGGATGGAGAGAAGCAGTTAGACCTACTTCTGCATGGGCATTGAGGATAAGGTTCTTCTTTTAAAACAGTTAATATATCATCATGAAAGCACTGCAGGAGCCATTCTTTTCTCTGACTTTAAGGAACTTTCAATCATAGAAATGTTCAAAATGCCCTTTGTTAAAAAAATGTTGTATATTTAAGAGAGATGCAAATTAAAGAATGAAAACACAATACATGACTAGTGAATCACATTTATGCTTCACAGCAAAGGTATTCACTTTTTACATGTAGAACATAAATATACAGTATATGTTCCTCAGGAATATTTCATATTGGCTGTGTTGATTCACAAAAGACAAGCGAAAGCACTGTCTTCATCCATCAATTTGGTATTCACAAGTAAATGAGGCAAGTGTTTCATCCCACATCTACCAACACACTCGATAATAATGCAGATGATATTCCTGTTTAACAAAAGAGTATAAGGAATTAAATGAGAATTCTTACATAATGTCAGGCGCTGGATGCCTTCCTTGGCATCTTAAACCACACGTGTTCTCACCAAAAGACTTACCGGTATTCATAATCAACCAGTATGTGTGCTCAGGATTTAAGTTGATAAGGCAAATCTGATTTTGACAACCTCAGAGCGGCCCCCACTAAAGACCTTTGGCACCCTCCCTAGGGCGGCCTAGGAATCAAAGGGCTTCAAGAATAGAAGAACCACAGCAGTAACCATTGTAGTAACTTCAAGATAATTGTGTTGTAATCATAGAAGCCTGACATTGTTTTATGTACGCAAGAACCAAAAATAAAATAAAAATACACCTACAGCATGCTGATTTGTACTGTTTAACATTTTAAAATAACATTCTGTGCAACATTGACTGATGGTGTAATCAGCCATTAATCAGACCAATCTGTGCAAGCCAGGCATCACTGACATTAAACACAACACAGGTTTCAGAGAGTGGCTACTGGGCTGCATGCAAAAAAGAAATATTGTGTACACACACATTAGGGTAGCAGAATTTACAACAAGCAACTATCTTCATGGATTGAATTTCAGTTTGTCTGAAAAAGTAACTACGGAAAACGCAAGCGTGAGTTAATTGCTATGTTTTTTATCACTTATTTTTACAAGAAATTTGGAAAACCAATCAAAACAATGCTTTTTGCAATGGGTTAGGGGAGAAGATGGGTACTACTGTCATAGCTGTTGGCTATATATGAAGCTGAAGCCAGGAGACTGTTAGTATAAAATCTGAAAGAAGGGGAGAAATAGCTTTATTAATCATGCAGAACTGAAGTGTAAAAATGTCAAGCTGCATTTAACAAGGGTTATGTTCACACTGTATTGTTGCTGTTTGCCCCAGCAGCCAGGTCATTAGCAGAGATTTAATCTATTAATATTGTTCCCTATATAGGCAGAACAGCGGTTCTCACCTGTTTCCAGTCTTCTCAAGACCACTTTCCTCACATAACACTCAGTGACTCTTAGCAATAGCTAGTATTCTCCTTATTGCTTTGGTTGCCACATCTTTTTCCTATTAATTATTAATCATTATTTTCAAATGTTACTTGAGAACGAGTCACAGATCCTAATAACTCAGATCAAATAGATCAAGTAGATCAAATAGTTATAAAAGATACAAACATAAATCACAAATGTTCAAGCAATGGAACATGCTTGAACATTTACTATATCCATGGAGATAGTCTAAAAATACAAATGATATAACAGTTGATCACACATTTCTATATGTCAGAGACAGAGACTCACCTCTGATAATATAAACCTGTCCACCTATCAAGTGTTTTAGACAACAGAAAAGCCCATCTGACAACAGGGGTTGGACAGCAGTAAGAAAAAACAATGGATCAAGATGTTGAGAATGTTTAAGGGTGAGATCATTGTATGTGCAGACAGAACAGAAGATGCAGGATCAGGAGGTCGAAAGAAGCAGCACAAAGTTCAACAAGAATCCCTTTTTGTTTGAACTTGCTTAGTTGATCCCTTCAAAGTGACTGAGGAGGCTGACCAGGAGATAAAGGGAGCAAGCCAGGGATCAAAGAAAGGGGAAATGACTGGCAGGAACTGCAGTTGTGATAGATGAGAGTATCTCGTTTATCTTCATCTGCAACTGAGTCAGAGATACACTAGACAGTTTGTACCCTCTCAGGAATAAAAAACTAAATGACTTCATATTTAAAGTCATGTCTTTCACGTCAATATTAATCCTACTTATCTTTAATAAGACAGTCTTTTTGTTCTTAACTCCCATTTACAATTACTATTAATTACTTGGAAGTGTAGGTCTGTGTAAGTAGAAGTAGCGCCATGGGTCTGTATGGCTTACTAATGTGTTGAAGAAGGAAAATCTACATATTTAGAAGTTTGTTCTAAAAGAACATTATTGGTTGCTGTTGAAGCTACTAAAGTGACTTATGATCACAAGATATATTTAAGGCATCAAGATCCCTATGCACAGGCTAAATGGGCCTCATTCACCAATATCTTTATAAGATTTGTTTTAATTTGTTCTTCAGTGTGAGTACAGTAATGGCTACACAGGAAGAAAAGATGCAATAAACATAATTAATGTATGTAATGTAAGACAACCCGAATTAGTATGATCATAAAAAAATTATTAAATACTGTATTAATTGTGAAACAAAACACTGTAATGTAAACCCTGTAATATTATACAACTGTAGATTTAAATTAAATGCTATAGCCTGTCAGCACTCAAATGTTCAAGTGTTCCTAATTTCTGTTCTTCCTTTAAGTCTTTATATGTGATTTTTTTGATCCAGCAGATGTCGCCCTTGAGCACCAGCATGAAACCAAAACAACTTGCGCTGCATTGTTGTGTTAGCATGCTAATGCTAGCGATCTTTATTATGCTAGTATCTTCACACTGCATGTAAATTTACCTGAAATGACGATGATCTAAAAACACAGTTAATCAGTACAGTATGTTATTCTTCTTTTCTCTAGTCCCTCAATTAAACAACTTTTATACGTGAGGGGAGGAGTCAGCCGGCCGTCCTGACGATGTAAACAAACTGAAGATAGGACTCTGAAAACTCTGAAAACATCACAGACAGTGGGACTCGGGTGTTACACCCATTGTAGACAGTCATGACTCACAGAGTTATTTTCAGAGGATATACTTGATTTATATTATATTTAAGTGTGAAAAATCACATATAAAGCCTTTAAGAACAAATCCCACATAAGAAAATATTGGTGAATCCAGACTCTTCTTAAAACGTATGTAGGTAGGATTTAAGAACAATTTGTTCTCATGAACAGTCAGTGAGTGAGGCCCAATGTCCTTCTCTCATTTGAAACAAGCTCAAAATGATTTCAACACTTCTTTTCTCCTTTGGCAAGTAACAAAGTTAAAACGCTTAAAAATACTTACTGGGTGGCTTGTTGGCAGCCAGATTTTTGAAATGGATACCTTTGATGACCTCAACAGAGAGACGTCCTGTTGTGGCATTATACAGCAGGCCAACAAGGATCTCTGGTGTGGAAATCTGACTAAATGACTGGAATGATGAGGCGCTTTCGCTGCACGTCATATCTGAAAGGCTGACCTGCGATTCACCACCCTAAAAATGTTTGAAGACAAGCAGAAAAATGTTCACTAAAACATGTCGTGGTCATTATTGTTTTGTGAAATATCTATATAACTGTTTTATAATTGTATTATCCCTTACTATTTTATAACACTTTCAATATCATTTGTAAAAGCAGTTTTCTAAATGCATTATAACACAGGTGGAAGCTGTGTGCTACACCTGTGAGCTACTAACTGTAGGTCTAGACCTTCTCCATTTGCAAAGGGTTACCATTTAAATTTCATTGGGATTTGCAATTATTTATACAATACATTTGCTTGCCAAAGAAACAAACTGGTTAGGGGGTGGGCCTTTAGCTATTTTCATTAAATTTTTGATGAACTGACAAGTTCTTTTTTCCGTGCATCAGTTAATGTCAAAATGTAAAGTTCCTTATTTATTTAAAAATAAAAGCAGGTTTGTATTCAAAAAGGTAGTTACGTACCACTCGTTTAAGACAATAAAAGCCTAACAAAAATATTTTGAAATGCAAATTCATGGAATTTCAAACATGTGATTAACAACTGAAAGACATATCCGCTTTAGAGTTTTTTTGAATGGGGTGTTGATGTTAACCTTCATTTTTTTTTTGTTTTAGTAGCCAAGAATGCATTATGATAAGACTAGTTAAGTTTGATTTCAGTCTGTGTTTTTCACAGCACTTGTGTACCCTGTATCTGATCTAAGGTGTACTACATCACACACAACATGCGCAGGAACACCAAACCGGAGTTTGGATAAAAACATATTGCAAAAGAAGGGGGCTGTCTGATGTCAAGGTAGCGCAGTGAAATCTATGGTTTGTTTTACAAGTATGATTTTTTTAAGTGACTTAAATGTGTGTTTCTCGTGAACCTCTTGCTCAGTGGTACATACTGTAGCGTGGCTACTCTTATAGTACTCTGCTCGGCTCCTCCAAACCAGGGCAGTGTTGACTGTAGAATCTTGGCTTTCTAAAGAACCCTTATTCAATCCCACTATAAAAAGCCTGAAGTGACCCTTTGAGCTAATGTTAACTAAAAAGTTGGTAAGAATTACTGTCTTTAGGGTTGTGTCAAAAAAGATTTTCCCCTCCACCTTATTGAAACCCAAACTTACACCAAACCCCATCAAACAAGTCATTCTCTGCAATGCTTAACTCCAACACCCTGTAGTAATACCATTCATCAACATAATAATGGTTCTGGAAGATTACAGTATAGTTGTATCTCTGGGTGGAAAAGCCTGTTTCCCAACAGCTCTTTAGCCAAAACCAATCTAAAAGAATCCTTGATGTATTTAGGTGGGCTTTTTTGTAGTTTGAGATTTGCCCCAACTCAAAGGCTGCTTTGCTTTTTGGAATTTAGATCTAATTTCAATTTTTTTAAATGACATTTTTATTGTTGGAAAAGGGAAAAAAAAACATAATTTCCTTTCTATATTCATTATAGAAATGACAATAACCACAAAACAAAGAGCAGAAGTGGGTTAGTAAAAACAGGACATTTATGTTATATGCTGTATAAATGTTATTCTGCAGATCAATCAATCAATCATTATTTTGTATAGCTCTATTCATAACAAATGTTATCTGGATATCTTTTCAAAAAGCAGGTCAATTATCTTACTGTTAGTTATTTAATATTACATAAGATACATCCTAACAATTAAAGACAATCAGTCAATGTACTGTAGAAGAACATATAGTTAGGTATTTCAAAAGGGCTTGAAAGCCAATATCTGCTAAATACTTACCAGAAGAGCACAGCATGGGTCCAATATGACAGGCACGGACATTCTACCCTGAAGGTTGAGCTTGGTGAGGTAAAAGACCTTTTCCCCGAGCACCTTCTCTTTTTTCATCCGCTGCAAACTATAGAGACGAAATCGGATGGCATAATTGCTAATCATCTCTGACTCCACATGGCTAAATCTGAAGGTCTCTGTGAAGATTGGACACGGGCCTCTCTGGATTCCTGTCCATGCCCTCTGCTTCTTGGTGGGCAGCAGCACTAGATGGACCTTCCAAGAGATGTTTCCAGTGTGTTTAAGGGAAGGAAGGTCTGATACTGCCATGATTGTGACTGCTAGCTGCTGCTCCTCACATTCATATTCAAACACAACATCCAGAGTGCCATATTTTGCATGTGGATCTAGATCATAAGCTTTGGGTAGCTGAGCGGCTGATCCACGGGCTGACAAGTCCTAAAGAAACCAAGGAGATGTTCAATGTTTATTATACACCAAAATATGCATCTCCAGCCATATCTTTTATTACTACTCTGTAGTTACCTCTGGGCTGAGGACAGCTGTACTGTCACTTGGTACATCCTCCTCATAGCCCTTGTTGAGGTAACTCTCAGTCTCATGGCATTCGCTGCCTTCACTTGGGCATTTGCCAAAGGACAAGTGGGGACTTCCGCTGGTGTAGGATAGATAACACTTAGCGTCTCCCAGGTCCGACAGTGTACAGGACATCCTCGGAGAGCCATTCTCATCCTGATAAGGAGGTGGCTGAAGCTCATCCAACGGGGGGGTTTGTCTCATCCTCTGAATGCAGTTGGCTGTGGTTGGTAGAGAAGTCAGAAAAGTGATCAAGAATCATGAAAAGTTCACATATTTTTGTATCATTTGGTATTTTATTATTCAAACCATGTTGCAAAAGTAAACTGTGGTTTTGCTTCTTTTCCCGCCGACAACCCTGCACTTCTGACTACAATGTTAGTCAGCTACTTCTGGTAATGTGGGTGAAATTTCTTGTTGAAGAAAATTTTGACTTTAAAGCCTTTTGACTTTGTTGATTCATTGACTTTTACAAGTACTATTACAAGTCACGATTCACAAACCTTGTCAAATATTTCCAAGATTTGTTTGTACATACAAACTAATTCCTATAGTTACTACATGAAGTATCTTATTGACAGAGCTGTCTTCATTTCTTGAGATGGCTTGGTTCAGATGGGTTCCTCTCTCCCTGTCAGATGCTGAGAAACTCGTCCACGCCTTTGTCTCCTCCAGGCTGGACTACTGCAACACACACCTCATCAGGATCCCTAACAAGAGCCTCCAGAAGCTCCAACATGTTCAGAACAGTGCTGCTAGGATCCTGATGAGAGTGTGTAAATATGAACACATCACACCCATCCTTCAGACTCTACACTGGCTCCCCATCTCATACAAACTCACCCTTCTAACTTACCAGTGCACCCATGGAAATGTCCCCCCTACCTCAAAGAAATCCTCACCCCACAATCCTCCACACTAAGCCTCCGCTCTGGAAACACCAACCTCCTCCATCCCCCCAGGACTAAACTCCACACCATGGGAGACCAGGCCTTCTGCTCCCAGTCTGTGGAACGCTCTCCCCGACCAGCTAAGGGCGCCACAGTCTGCGGACGCTTTTAAAAGGGCTCTAAATCCCTTTTTAACAGAGCCTTCTACTAGTGTTTTTAGTATACATAGATGCCTTTCTTGTTTTTAAACCCATGATTTATTCTTTTATTGATTATTATTATTTTTAATCTCTTAACATTTTTTTCCAAAAATATAAAGTCAATACAAATGGGATGTATTATTATTATTCCTTTAACATCTGCAGAACGTTTTTGTGCACCCTATATCAAACCGTAGATAAATTTGCACACACACACGAACACATCAATTACAATAACATACATAGCAGGTAAAAAACAAAAGAAACAACAATATCACAATGATAAGTGTCCCTTCCTTCTTACAAAGTACCCACATTTTTATACAGAGCATCAACTGCGCTGTAGTGTCTTTTATTTGGTTATAGAATTGGTCACAGGGCGATAGATAAGATTCAAATGTTTCAGATGATCTCCTCAAGTTGTACTTCATTTTCTCCAGATTTAAGAACATCATGAGGTCCTTTAACCAGTGCCATGCTTTGGGGGGAAATGGTGACTTCCGTTCCAATAATATTCTTCTACGAACTAAAAGAGATGCAATGGTAATACAGTCCTTTATTTTTCAACTGATTATTTGATGAACTGGTAGTACTCCTAAAATAGCCTTTTTTGGACATGGTGTCAATGACCTGTTTAAAACTGTGGCAACGTTTAAAGAAATAGTTGTCCAGTAGCCATGCAGGACCAAAACATGTGTCATGTTTGCTGTTGACATGTGGCATCAATTACAAGTATCTGAGACATGGGCGTACATTTTGGAGAGTTTAGAGTTAGTATAAAATAGGAGCGATGGACAACCTTAAGTTGTATCAGATTAAGTCTGGAACAAGACATGCTGTTATTCACACGGGATAAAATACTACACCAGTCATTGTCATGTTTACCAAGTTCCTCCTCCCAGTCTTTTTTAATAATGTCCACAGAAGTTTCTCTGAGCTGGGATATTACAGTGTAGATTTTTGAGATAAGGCCTTTCTGATTCGTGGTCATGTCCATGATTGAGTCGATTCTAGAGTTAGGAGGAGTATTTGGGTATGAGGCGTCATTGGCTTTGACAAAATTATGGACGTGGAAGTATCGAAAGAGATGGGAATGTGTTAAATTAAATGTATAACCCAGTTCACTAAAGCTACACAAGACATTGTCAGAGTAAAGGTCCTTTAGTCTGACAAGTTACTGACCTCTGACATTAAGACTACTTCTTTTAACTACTCTCAGCCTCTGGTTCATTTTAACACCATCCCATTCATATCCATGAATCCAGTATGACAAATACTAGCAGTGTACCATATACAGTATATGCCAGTAATTTGCCAAAACCTAATTGATGATTTACTTTCAGGTCACAGATGAAGTCTGAATGGCTCTTTCAGAATGCAAAATAAATACACTTCAGATAAGTTTTGTGACTGATGAGTGACAGACTCATTGTAAGAGGTCAGTGTTATCCTTTCGCTGTTCATGCTTAAATACAACAAAACTGCTTGCAATATATCATGCTACACCCCTTATGATAGTGAGTGTTGTAATAGGGAGAGAGATAATTGAAAAAAAAAAAAGAAAAGTGTTGAGGCGAGGCTGTGCAGAATATGCAGACTGTTGACTGTTTCACAACATTCCCACAGAGAGTGTGCTGAGTGGGAGCTTCACGTTGATTACCTCTCTGGATTCATTCAGTGTAATTATTGCACTGATACTGTATCTGTGGTTATTAGCAACAAAAGTGCAACTTTTCATTGTATAATGACAATGAACTAAGGCCTTGATAATGTTCTTGGAAAAACAAACCAAATATATTGAAAATAACAATATTATGAATATAAAAAATCAATAAATTAATACTAGCACAAAAATCTTAAATCAAAAGGAGATAGAAAACATACCATTGTCTGCTGAGGCTTCGCTGCTGTAGCCATCATAATCAGCAGTAACAGGGCTGTACTTGTGCCGACAATGCCAGCTGAAACCATCTATATGTTTCTCATTAGCAGCTGGCCTGGCTCCTCCTCTGTGGCCTTGAGAACGGCTTATAGCTTCTTGATACTGAGCCATTAGTTCATCCTCACTATCCGAAGATGAGCCCTGAAGATCAGCATCGTTGGCCTTGCCTGTTCAGGTTGAAGACAGTTAGGTTGGTTACTGTGCAACACACTTCAACCATTTAGGCATATGCACGGTCCTGATCCATCTGCCCAGCTGTCCTAAGAGTCAGTGAGTATGGTCTTTTACCTGCTTTTTCTAATGTTAAAAGACAAAGAGTAAGGTCTTTTACCTGCTTTTTGTTATATAACAATAAGTATGGTATTTTACCTGCTTTTTGTAACATAACAATAAGTAAGATCTTTTACCTGCTTTTTGTAACATAACAATGAGTAAGGCCTTTGACCTGCTCTTTTGTAACATAACAATGAGTAAGGTCTTTTACCTGCTTTTTGTAACATAACAATGAGTAAGGTCTTTTACCTGCTTTTTGTAATATAACAATGAGTATGGTCTTTTACCTGCTCTTTTGTAACATAACAATGAGTATGGTCTTTTACCTGCTTTTTGTAATATAACAATGAGTAAGGTCTTTTACCTGCTTTTTGTAATATAACAATGAGTATGGTCTTTTACCTGCTCTTTTGTAACATAACAATGAGTAAGGTCTTTTACCTGCTTTTTGTAATATAACAATGAGTATGGTCTTTTACCTGCTTTTTCTAATGTTAAAAGACAAAGAGTAAGGTCTTTTACCTGCTTTTTGTTATATAACAATAAGTATGGTCTTTTACCTGCTTTTTGTAACATAACAATAAGTAAGATCTTTTCCCTGCTTTTTGTAACATAACAATGAGTAAGGTCTTTTACCTGCTCTTTTGTAACATAACAATGAGTAAAATCTTTTACCTGCTTTTTGTAATATAACAATGAGTATGGTCTTTTACCTGCTTTTTCTAATGTTAAAAGACAAAGAGTAAGGTCTTTTACCTGCTCTTTTGTAACATAACAATGAGTATGGTCTTTTACCTGCTTTTTGTAACATAACAATAAGTAAGATCTTTTACCTGCTTTTTGTAACATAACAATGAGTAAGGCCTTTGACCTGCTCTTTTGTAACATAACAATGAGTATGGTCTTTTACCTGCTTTTTGTAACATAACAATGAGTAAGGTCTTTTACCTGCTTTTTGTAACATAACAATGAGTAAGAGCTTTTACCTGCTCTTTTGAAACATAACAATGAGTAAGGTCTTTCACCTGCCTTTTGTAACATAACAATGAGTAAGGTCTTTTACCTGCTTTTTGTAATATAACAATGAGTATGGTCTTTTACCTGCTCTTTTGTAACATAACAATGAGTATGGTCTTTTACCTGCTTTTTGTAATATAACAATGAGTAAGGTCTTTTACCTGCTTTTTGTAATATAACAATGAGTATGGTCTTTAACCTGCTTTTTCTAATGTTAAAAGACAAAGAGTAAGGTCTTTTACCTGCTTTTTGTAACATAACAATAAGTATGGTCTTTTACCTGCTTTTTCTAATGTTAAAAGACAAAGAGTAAGGTCTTTTACCTGCTTTTTGTAACATAACAATAAGTAAGATCTTTTCCCTGCTTTTTGTAACATAACAATAAGTAAGGTCTTTTACCTGCTGTGTTTTAAAGTGTCTCGAGATAACACTTGTTATGAGTTGACGCTATACAAATAAAAATTGATTGATTGATTGATGATAACCTTTCAGGAGTTCTACATTATTTATGTACAAGTCTAATTTACCAGTGTTTTCTAAACTGTTTGGGGTTTGAATTGCACATCTACTGTATTTGTATCCCTGCACAGGTTATGTCAATTTCTTTGTATAAGTCTATTTTTTGCACAAGTTTCATTTTGATTAATGTAGGGGCTTCTTTAAATCTTTGTTAGGTTAATATATACGTATGGGAGGGGGGACAGCGGCTGTTTAGATGTAAGAATATCATAAATGTCTTTTTAATCTGCGACTAGATGCTTTAAATTTCCCTCGGGATCAATAAAGTATCTATCTATCTATGCAAGATGAAACGAGAGTGGTGCGCATTCTGGGTTAGGGTTAGGTTCAACCCTAAGTCACGGCATATCCAGCTATATATTTAGAACGTGACACCATGGCCACCGCGTCATCTTTTACAGCCGACAGCAAGACAGCAGAATGTGATGCTGCTACACAGCAAACCTCTAATAAACAGCAACAACCATGGCTGTATCTCCTTAAGTAATTTACTTTTGAAGGCCCAGGATGGAGTGTCTACTGCGTCTGCCAAGAAGAAGGAAATAATTGCATTTCAAAATTCTACATCTAATCTGGTCCACTGCTCAAGTAAATCTGTTAACTGCAACCAGTATCATTAAAAGAAACAATATTATTGATATGATTATTAAGATATTTACTCAATAGCCTAGTGAGAGAAAGATGGAGGGAGAAAGGAAAGAGGTGTTACTGTTGTGGAAAATTGTTATGTTATAAAAACAATATGTTTGACATGCTGTAGTGTGTGTGTGTGTGTGTGTGTGTGTGTGTGTGTGAGAGTGTGTCTCCCTCTCTTGTGATCTCTCCAAGTGTTGCCCCTTGCCTCACTGCAGTCACTGATGGAGGACAGTCCTGTGCCCACTCTGTAATCAGTGGGCAGATTCTAAAGAGCAGGAGAGAGCTGGTAGTCTCTACTGTCCTGTAGAGATGACCAGTTCTGTTGAAGGAGGCTGTTTTTTAATAACTTTGTGCTCATTGTTTACCTTGGGGTTTTTGGTTAAAAGGTATTTTGTTGAAGATTGTTAGACTTCTCTTTAGTTGTTTTTTGTTAAGTTTTCCTGATTTTGTAATTTTTGCCTATACTTAGTTCCTCTTTCTTTTCCATGGTTTTTATTTTATTGTTACTTCCCGTGGAGGAAGGAAGGACGGTTTTGCTATTGTTGTGAAAAAATCTTTGTTTATAATGTCATCTGTATTTGTACTTTACTTGTAAGTTCGGCTACTAGATTTAAGTACCTTTAACATCAGATACAGAAAGGGAGTAAGGAATGTTTTTCTATTCAGAAGAGTCTTTAAAGTGTTTTTATATATATATATATATATATATATATATATATATATATATATATATATATATATATATATATATTATATATAAAATATGTCTGTCTGTACACTCTGTTACTTTACACAAGTATCTTAAACTCCAAAGACTTTGGATACTTAAGTACATTTATAGTTGGCTACTTTAAGACTTTGACTTTAACTTTTAGCTAAGTAAATATCATGCAGAGGTTAGGCGTCATGGAGCCACAAACTTTTTGGTCCTCATTCACAAACATGTTCGTAGAAATGTTTTTTCTCTGCACATAAAATAAGTGCATACAAAAAATCACCGTCTGATTCATGACACGTGTGTACCAGCATATTTTGTTCTCACCACCAGGTGTATGTTAGTGAATCAGAATGATTTTATATTATCAGGCTCGTGCTCGCAACCTGCAGTCAGCATACTACCACACCCCCATCTCTCCATATAAGGACATCCGATTGGTGTATCAGGACGAGAGTGGAGAGGTGGAGACACTTTAATTGTTTAGGAGATGGCCCCAAAAGGTGAAAAAGATCGGTGTGTCTGGGGGTTTAGATGATGCTATAGTGAATTACAGAGTTGCAGCAGTACGTGTATTGGCAGACAGAATCAGCTGATCAGTCATTCATCACACTGTTCAAACATTTTGATGGTTTGATGCGGTCTCTTCTGAAGGCACCGGCTGCTATTTGTTTTTATTTTCTTTACACATTCTTAGACGTAAATCGTAATCATGTATGTTCCCTGCATGCTCTTAAATATTCTCAGATTAATCAGCTGGTTTTGGTATCAGATGTGATATTTCATTTAATACATTTAGTCAATGCATCAGTTAAATCACTTTTTTAATGCTTGTCTTGTCAACATTTTCTTTAAATATATATATATATATATATATATATATATATATAAAAATTATTTTTACTGAATGTATTTTTAATATGTCATGCATTTAGTTAAAAGAGTGTATGTTAACATTTTCTGAGAAAGCTGGTCAATCATTTGTACGTACGCATGGTCTCAGGAATTCAAACAATTTCAGTAGATATTGGTGCGTACGCACTGTTAGTGAATGAGGCCAATTGAGTCTATATATTTTGGAGCCAAGAGGGAGAGAACGTTGGTAGAGGTCCCTGTCTGTTCCATAAGCTCCATAACACATATACATGAATGCTTGACTTACTCTGCTGCTCTGCTTTTTTCCTGAATTCATCAAGGCACTGAAGTCTTCCTGAGTTCTCCAGGGCCAACTTGTTGTTGAGGTACCAGAAGACGAGAGTCATGAGCATGATGAAGAGTCCGATTGTAGTCAGAAACCCAAGCACCTCTGGAGACACTGTGACAAGGACATAAAAGTGAGATTAGTCATTGTTGGGCATTTTGAATATCAGCAAACTATTGCTTTAGTTAACAAGACAAGGGCAGGTTAAAACAATTCATTCATCAATGCACTGCAATTATTATTTTCCCAATTCAAAATCAATTCAGGGAAATCCTGAGATAGATTTTTTTTCCCGTTGTAATGACGCCCCTCTCCACTGGGGGCACTGTGGGTGCTGTGAAATCTGGTCAGGCACATACTGTACTTTAGATCATACTGTACTTTCATTTTGGTTTTTTTACATTTTTGAGTCAGTTTGTTTTAAACAAATACAAACACATAATTATTTAACAAATATAAGAAGGTACCGTGAGTAGTTATCTGGGTATTTCTCTCATCTATGTGTAATATTGAATCAATATCGAAGCATACTGATCAATATCGAATCGAAATCGATATCGAATCGTGACCCAAATTGAATTGTGAGGTTGTGGACAATACCCAGCTATAAGTAAGACCAAGGCCAACATGACTGTAACTTTGATCTAATATAAATGCTATTGCTAATCATTATGAGTCTCCAAATGAAGACAACTCACCCTTTCCTGATTTGATAATAATACACTCTCATGTCTGTTTGCCACTTGTATATGTTTTTCTTAAACAGTTACAATATCGCTGTGGTTTATTAGCCTAATGCTCAAAACCAGCCTCTCAAAACATTTGCTGGCTATAGGGTTGAGTGTTATGCAAAGCCATTTGTAGAGGCTGACCACCCTCTGTTACTGAAACTGAAAACTTACACCAACTCTTTCACCTAAAGCAGTAGCAGCCCCCATACATTGATCAGATTAATGTACAAAAAGATTGACATACATCCTTGAGACGTTTACTGAATTTCACAAAAGGGGAAAGTAGTACCGTATTTTCCACACTATAAGGCGCACCAGATTATAAGGCGCACCTTCAATGAATGGCCTATTTTAGAACTGTTTTCATATATAGGGCGCACCGGATTATAAGGCGCATAGAATAGAACGTGTTTACAACTGAACAAGGCTGGGAGATATTGTGAATATATAAATATAAATATGTATAAAACGTAACGTATAAAACTACAAAAACAAAAGTACATAAGACGATTTCCCCAAATAATAAATTATTTCTTTGACGTTTCTCTTAACTCTCAAAACGTAGTTTTATACGTAGTGCATTCACAATAACTCAACGTTGTTCAAACGTTAATGTGCATATTCACAATATCTCCCAGCCTTGTTCAGTTGTAAACACGTAAAAGAAACACAGTCTGATACCGCTAATTCAAACGTTAGTGCAGGGGTGCCCAAACAGTCGATCGCGATCAACAGGTAGATCGCTGACTGATTCTCAGTCGATCGCGAGATGTTTTGTCAATATAAAATACAATTGTAAAATAGAAAAGTGATTTCAATTTCATCTCATTGCACTGTTTCCCACACACGATACCTGTGTTGGGAGCCCAAGTATACTTCCGACCTGTGTGTATTTAATTTTTCATTTATTCATGAAATTGCTGCGTGCATGAGAGAGCGAGCGAGAGAGAGAGAGAGCGCGCGCAAGAGAGAGTGCAGGCATGCGCAAGGACGTGCAGCTAAAACCGGGGGGGGGGGGTAAATGTTTTACCAAAAAGTCATATATAGAAACTATGCTACGAGTATTAAGCGCATTTGATGAAGCTGCAGCTACTTTTCTCTGCTCCTCTCTGCTGTCATGACTGTGAGCATCGCGGGGGGCGAGACACACCAACAAACAGAGCAAACGCACACGCACACGCACACACACACACACACACACACACACACACACACACACACACACACTTGCACTGGAGCGCCAGCCACCACGCGAACCTTTTTACTTTTTACTTTTAGTGCTACAGCACACAGTTGATCCGTGATCCGTACGGACCAAGGTGGGAACACACGTGACCCGGTCAAACAGTCGGTTGGACTTTACTCCGTTCACTCTCACCGTGTCTGCAGCTAATTTAACAAAAGCAAAATCATCTCACAGCAGCCTGCTGTAGTCTGTAGTCTGCATTATTTTTTACAGAACTCTCATTTATTATTTTCTGTTTGTTGTGTGAGTATTAAATGCGTTTGTAGGCTGTTGGTAAAGGCTATGGCTCACTATGTGGACTGGTAGATCTCGGCAGACTGGTAACTTTAAAAGTAGATCTTGGTTCAAAAAAGGTTGGGCACCCCTGCGTTAGTGCATAACTCAACATTGTTCAGTTACGTATAACACGTAAAGCTCACTTTTTCAGTTCATTCCCCGTCCACGAATCCCTCGAATTCTTCTTCTTCAGTGTCCGAATTGAACAGTTGGGCGAGTACGGCATCCAACATGCCCGGCTCCCTCTCGTCATTATCCGAGTCAGTGTCGCTGAGCGCCGTGTACAACCAGTATGGATCAACCAATTAACCAAATGATCCATATATAAGGCGCTCCGGATTATAAGGCGCACTGTCGTTTTTTGAGAAAATTAAAGGCTTTTAAGTGCGCCTTATAGTGCGGAAAATACGGTAATTAACCCTTTTCTACAGCAAGAACTTTCCCCCGGAACAAGTCAACTTTTGAGGATATATGCTTATTTTGACCTCAACAACCATGGTCTAAATTGAGTTTTGGGCTAATAGATCGACACCTAAAAAAGGCCCTGCTCAGGTGTATACTTTCCCAAGGTCCAGGGACCTTGATGGGCAGGGCCTGTAGCATCTGCAGGGCTGAATGTCTCTGATTAGTCAGGCACTCGCAGGGTTTAAGATGAACCACCATGTTTTCAACATGCAGCTAATAAAGGACAAGAAGAAGAGCATCCATATATGTACAAGTAAAATGATAGGAATAAAATAAAAATAAAGATAAAGCTACAATGAATTTACAAGTATTATTAACAAGTATTAAGTTAAATATACAATGAAGATCTTAAATATATGCAAAAAACTATATCGGAAATTAGGGCTGGTTTAAATCGATTCATCAGTGCATTGCAATTATTATTTTCCTAATTCAATATCGATTCAGGGAAACCCAGAGATTGATTGTTTTCATTGTAATAACACCCCTCTCCACTGAGGGCACTGTGGGTGCTGTGAATTCAGGTCAGGCACAATTGAGCACTTTACATAATAGTTTTTGTCCGTGTTTTTGTCCGTGCCATTACAGCACTGTTTTCTTTCACCAATGTGCACTTAAAGATCATACTGTACTTTAATGTTTTATTATTTGTTTATTAAAGAATAATGCAACGATAAAATATATTTCTGAGTCAGTTTGTTTCTAAATCTATACAAACAGTATACACATAATTATTTAACAAATATCAGAAGGTACTGTGATGAGTTTTCTGGGTATTCCTGTCAAATGAATATTGAAGCATATTGATCTATACTGAATTGAAACGTGACCCAAATAATTGAATTGAATTGAACTGAATTCTGAGGTTGTGGACAATACCCAGCTCTACTAATTTCAATTTCATTCAATTTCATTCAAACAACTTGATTTATCCGTTATAAACTTCAGATATGTAAAAAGCATCAGTGCACACACAGCACAAAAACAAACCACACATACGTATCACATATCAAAATCCAAAGTGCAATCAGAGAGAGTCCTGAGAGAGTGAAGCTTGTAAGCTATAACACATAATGCATGACATATTAGCAATAAATAATGCTAAAGATTCTAGGTTACAAGGAAGTCAGACTTTTTCTTGCTTTATGCGCCACTAAACAGCTTTCATAAGACTGCACAGGGTTCCACCTCCAATGCTGTATCCATTCTATAAAACATGTTTCAAGAAGTTGTGAAAGAAGTGCTGCTTACTCCCTGAGAAAGTTTGTCTCAACTGCATTGAGCAAAGAATGTGAGCAGACAGAGCTCATGTTTGTTGAATTTGCTGCCAACCTGAAAAGCTCCGAAACAGACAACTCCAATGACATGGATTGGGTACTTAGAGAAATTCAACTGGAGAACCACAGCAGAAGGAACACTTTATGTGTGGAAGACACGGAGGGCGGGGACTGAATGGATACCCAGTGTCCTGGGAGAGGAGCCCGGGTTAGAGAGCCCACAGAACCTTCAATTCTAAATCAAAGCCATCTCAGACCCCCAGGCCTGTTTTGATTCATCCAATTCCATTCCAGGACCGAGAAGAAATCCTTCAGTTTGCCAAAACAAAAGGAAGCATCACTGTCAACGACAAAATAAAACCAGCTTTTTTGCCAACACGAGGATCTGGCCAGACGCCGCAAACAGCTTATTCAAGCCTTTAAAGCCATAACAAGAGAGAAGCATCACCTGTTAACTCATCTATCCTGCATGACTGAAGGTCCAGTCCAGAGATGGACCAATCTGTCTCTTCCATACAGCGGGGGATGTGCGAACCTGAACCGAGAAGCACCGCTAATGGCTATGTTTAGTCGACTCAATTACTGGATTATTTATTTAAACGGAGAGTCGGTGAGTAAGTCCAAACCTGCCCACCTTTCCTTCCATTATCCTCTAATCTTTTCTTAAAAAAACATACATGTGTAAATGATTAAGGAGTGAGAGAGACTGTTGCAGGATTTAAAACACAATCCTGTGTGCAACTGACTACCTGACAGTAATTTGGCCTGTCCTCTCCTTTTTTAAACACAGATCATTAAATATGATCTCATAACCTGTGTTTTTGACTATATATACATGTCTATATATACCGCCTGGGAACGCATTGGAATCTCCCAAGAGGAGCAGGAAAACGTTATTGGAGAGAGGGAAGGGTTGACTTACTGCGCCTGCTGCCACCGTGAGCTGACCTCACAAGAGGAAGAAAAGGGATGGATGGAGATCATTAAACATCTGACCACCCCTCTTTAATTTGTTAAATTAGTTCACTAAGAAGGGGACATTTATGAGATCCTAATTGTGGGCATTTAGAAAATACCTATTAGGCTATACTGTATGTTTGAGTTGCATACAAATTGACG